GAAATAGAAATTCCATTTGGCCCAGCAATCCCATTATTGGGTATATATCCAAATGATTATAAATCGTTCTACTATAAAGACACATGCACATGTATGTTCACTGTGACACTGTTTACAATAGCAAAGACCTGGAACCAACCCAATTGCCCATCAATGATAGACTGGACAGGGAAAATGTAGCACATATACACCATGGAATACTATGCAGCCATAAAAAAATGATGAGTTTTTTTCCTTTGTAGGGACATGGATGAACCTGGAAACCATCATTCTCAGCAAACTGACACAAGAACAGAAAGTCAGACACCACATGTTCTCACTCATAGGCCAGTGTTGAACATTGAGAACACATGAACGCAGGGAGGGGAGCATCACACACTAGGGTCTATTGTGGGGACTAGGGGAGAGACAGTGAGGGTTAGGTAATTGGGGAGGAATAACATGGGGAGAAGTGCCAGATATAGGCGATGGGGATGGAGGCAGCAAACCACATTGCCATGTATGTACTTTTGCAACAATCCTGTATGTTCTTCACATGTACCCCAGAACCTAAAGTGCAATAATATATATATATATATATTTTTAAATGTCTTTTAGGCCAAATAGTGCCTTAATTTTAACCTGTACCCTTTGTAGATACTTAATTTAAAGTGGAAATGTAGTAGAGGTAACACATTGCAAACTTATTCACTGTAATTTTTGTATATTTTCTGTATATTATAGAATGAATTCATTTATTAAATAGGGTCCTTCAGAGGAATTGAGTAGTGAACATAAAGAAATAGGGCCAAGAGGAGAGCTTAAATATTCATCTTTCTTCCGTGCATCCAGATATCACTGTGGTTAAGGAGCAGACTCTTAGAGAGTAAGCGGAGCTAAGGTTAAAGCCTGCTTTTCTGCTTTGCTGGCTGGATGGCACTGCGGAAATTGCAGATTCTCCCTAAGTCTCAATTCCTTTATCTGTAAAATAGGGATAATAATGGTACATACCTGATAGAATTATTGTAAGAATCAAAGAAAATAGCATATATAAAATATTTAGTTGATTCTTAGTACACAAGAAGCATTCAGTAAGTGCTACAGAATAACAACAGGAGAGGAGGAATAAAAGGTGATGATGATGGTGGTGGTGATGACGACAACAGTGACTTTGGATTCCAACGATGTGAGTGGCAATCATGGCTCTATTGCTTGCCAACCATGAGACAGTCACTTTAATTTAGTCTCCAACTGCACATCTGTCCAAACCTCTTAAGGCTTTTGTGAGAACTGAATGACAGGTGCCTGGCACATAGTAAGTACCCTAGATAGGTGGGTCTGACCTAAGGAGCGGCAGAGACACACACTCTTCTCTGGAAAGGACTGACCTTTTCCTGTGTAAAATAAGAACCCTGGCCCATACCTATAATCCCAGCACTGTGGAATGTTGAGACAGGAGGATCACTTGAACTCAAGAGTTTGAGACCAGCCTAGGCAACATAGTAAGACCCCCCATCTCTACAAAATATATCCATATACATACATATATATTTATACATATATAACATATATATTTATAAATGCACATATATATATTTTTTATATATAATAAAATATATAAAATTTTATTTTATAAAATTAGTTGGGTCTGGTGGTGCACACCTGTAGTCCCAGCTACTCAGGAAGCTGAGGTGGGAAGACTGTTTGAACCTGAGAAGTCAAGGCTGCTGTGAGCTGTGATCACACCACTGCACTCCAGCCTGAGTAACAGAGTGAGACCCTGTCTCAAAAAAATTAATAAATAAATAAGAGCCCTGAGAGGTTTGTAAGGCTGGGCAATTCTGTGTGTCTTGGGCTGGCCCAACAGCTGCCCTGGAGGGAAATACAGCAAATCCTTAAAAGCAAGCAGGGCCCATGTGCCCCTCTCCACAGCCCCTCTTCCTCCAACTGAAGGAAGGAACCCAGGGGACACGTAGCTGGAAAGAGCAAGGATACCTCTTCATGAAAAGAGGAAGACAGAGGACCAAAGTCACAAAAAAGGAAGACAGAGGACCAAAGTCCCATGCTTGGCAGGAAAGGAGAACACAGAAGCAGGAAGGGACATTACAGGAGGGAGGTGGCTAAGAAGCCCCAACAGAGGAACAAGAGTCAGACTTCATTGCTGGGGCCTGGGGGCTGTGATTAAACTGGCAGCACGGTCTCCCGGGCATTGCAGAGGGACCATTAGTGCTCAGACCCCCCTGCCGTTTATATCTGAAATGAGTTTGGATTTAGAGATCCAGCGCTGATGTCAGCAGAGTGGGGCAAAAAGAAAAAAATTTTAGAAAGAGACCCAGTGCTGAGCTGAGTGGTGTGTGGATCAGGAGTGAAGCTCACGACTTAATCAGGGGCATGAAAGTAGCTGACAAATTACAGTGTGATTGGTCATCATCTCAGAGCTTGGCAAGTGTTTGTCCCTGAAAGAATCAATACCTGGAGGGAAAAGGGCCATATTTTTAGAAACTCCTGGATGGGTAATTTATTTCAAGTGAGTAGAGAGTTTATTTATGTTGGCACCCCCTCAGATCCAATGGACAGTATATTTACACGAAGCCAGAAAATGCTATCATTTCTTCGAATCAATTTGCCCCTTTAAACAGCTGTACCTTGTAGCTTTCAGTAATAAACTCACACCCCTTGCTAAAAGATCTACTGAGGAAAACATTTCCAATCCCACCTTTAGCACTGCTGCCTTCTGTTTGGGTGGAATGTTACATGTTTCAACACTTTTCCACAAAGATTCTGTTTTTCAAGGCACAAGTAAGATGGGCAGGGCAGGTTATGTTAGCCCCATTCTACAAATGAAGACACAGAGGCTCGTAAGTTGAAAGTAGTACTAGTCAATGTAGGCGAGGGTCAGAAAGCAAGCTCTCCCACCTGCAGTTGTGTTTCACCCCCATTGGACTAAAAGAGCTTGTGCAACAGAAATTCCTTTAAAAAGTAAAGAATCAAGAATGTGTTTAAAATACTTAGGTCTGCAGTTGAACTTGGATTGAAATCCCAGCCCATGAGATTTAAATAGGCTTGAACGTGGGCACAGATTTCCCATCTCTACAGAGAGGCAAATTGAAGTTCCTGCTTCATAAAATGATTGTAAGCTTGAAAATAAATAATATATATAAAATTTTCATTGCAGTGTCTGGCAGAAATAAGAGTCCAGTAAATGCTATTTATTTTGTTCTATTAGCTACTATTTTCACAGCATTTTTATAATAATAGCAAAACAAATTAAAACACTGTACATATTCAGTAATGAAATGATTAAAGGAAATATGGTCAATTTTGTTCCTAGACCAAACTGAGGTTTGGGCTGCTATTTCTTGTGGCCCAATAACGAGATGCAGATGAACTGGGGAGGAAAAGAGTTTTTATTTCTGTAACCAGTTTACAGGGAGAAGGCTTGGAAATTATTGCCAAAACCAACTCAAAATTACAGTTTTCTAAAGCTTATCTACTTTCTGAGCTATATGTCTCCCTGTAAGCATGCATTCATCAAAAGACATAAGTGATTAACTTCTTTTAATCTATAGCTAACGTCTGAGTCCTAAAGACTTACTTCTGGAGCCTCAGTAAATTTAATCTAAATAGGTCTAGGTGCTGTAGTGATTACCTTATCTTGTCTCCTGCTAAATCATAAGTGTTAAGGGAGTCTTTTAGACCCCGATAAACTTGTTTGTGGAGGCCGGGGGAGCTTCTTCAGATCCCCAGTGAAACTTGTTTAATCCTGAAAATTCCTGTTAAGACTTCCTTTGTTATCTTCTCACGCTTCAAGGCCCAGGAAAAGCCTAGGCAACCTTGCTGGGATCTTTGTTTCACACCAGCCTTTGTATAAGGACCCTGGCTCAATCAGCTTTTAATGTTTAACCTGGCTACTCAGTGCTGGGACAGTTGTAATGGAGGCCTGCATTAGTGAGACCTGGCCTGCCACATATTATACAGTAGGTTTCTGTGCATATTTAATAAAGATAGAAAAATTCAATAAGGTGAAAATGTTCAAGATTTATGAGCACTGAATTTCATTGTTAAAATATATAAATGCACATGTATATACCTATACAAATATATGTGGATGTGGACACACACACACACACACACACACACATATATATATATATATTTCTTTATTTTTAAACAGAATCTTGCTCTGCCACCCAGTCTGGAGTGCAGTGGTGCGATCTCAGCTCACTGCAACCTCCATCTCCCAGGTTCAAGCAGTTCTCCTGCCTCAGCCTCCCAAGTAGCTGAGATTACAGACACGCACCACCATGCCTGGCTAATTTTTATATTTTTAGTAGAAACAGGATTTCACCATGTTGGCCAGGCTGGTCTCAAACTTCTGACCTCAGGTGATTCCTACCTCAGCCTCCCAAAGTGCTGGGATTACAGGTGTGAGCCACCATGCCTGGGTAATGAATATGTATTTGTAAAACCCTGGACATATTACATGCACAAGCATTTTAGCTGTGGATCTCTCTATGTGGTAAGATTTCTAATGCCTTCTTTTTAACCATCTATTTCTGTGGTGTCCACTAGCCACATGTAGCTATTTAAGTTTAAATTAATTAAAATCAAATTAAATTTTTTAAGAAAACAATTCCTTAGTCAAACTACCAAACTTCAAGGGCTCAATAGCCACATGTGATTAGTGGCACATACTGTAGCACAACGCAGACTCAAAACAGTCCATCATTGCAGTAAGTTCTATTAGATCTGAGGTACAGCCCCAGACCCAGGCAGGTCAGAGAAATGCAGTCAGGGTAGTAACCTCCCTCTGTTCTACATCAAACTTTTCACTGGCATTTGCTTTCTCTTCCTTAATGAGGGCTTAATTCTTTTTTTCTGACACAGTACAACTATCAGAGTGTGACAAAGCAGGGATTACCTTATTTGCAATGGTTCTAACAGTGATTAGCTCTCCCAATGATCCTATTAAGACTAGATCCCTCTGAATGAATAACCTCACAGAGTGCTCTCTCTCACAGGAGATACAGTTCGAACCAGAGCTTTTCCACAATACCATCGTGTGTGAGAAACCCAACAACCACCTCAACAAATTTAAGGGTTATATGTAAGTATCTCATGTTCCGTGCTGCTAGTAAATATCTCCACTGCAGCTAGAAAATATATTGTCTAGAAATGATCAAACAGATAAATATCTTCATCCTGAGGAATTTTATGTTTTGTGTTTATCCTATCGATAAAGAAGGACTAGAGAAATTTTAAATTGGGAAACTTTCTATTTTTGTTGTTGTTGTTGAATGATAATTATCTTGCAGGGTTAAATTCACCAGTGTTTTATCAAGAAAAAACAAAACAACAACAAAACCTTTGTAAAATAGCATCAAAATCAAGATTGTGCTCTGATTCAGGAAGGTGAATATGAATTAATGAAGATCATTTGTTTAAGTGCCTGTATTGCATTGTAAGTAAGAACAATAACTTTGGAATTTGGCAGATCTGGGTTTGAACAGGGGTTCTGCAAATTATAAGCTATGTGAACTTGGGTAAATTAATTCACCTCTCTGAGCCTGTTTCCACATCTAAAAAATAAAATTATAATATCGATATCAAAGGATTTTTCTTGTCTAAGATTAAGTGACTTAGCATAAACAAAACCCTTACAGCAGCAACTGGTAGAGAGGAAATATTCAGTTAACAGTGGCTTCTGCTATTAGGATAATTGTTATTCTTATTCCTCAACTTTGGTTCAGTCTAAGAATTTTACTGTGATTCTGCTCCCATATCAGACCACTAGTCTCACAAAATAAAGAGCCATAGTAACAGATGTGAGTAAATGCCCTTATACAATGCTTTTCTACAGGGGTGTCCAATCTTTTGGCTTCCTTGGGCCATTTTGGAAGAATTGTCTTGGGCTACGTATAAAAAACACTTAGCCCTAACAATAGCCAATGAGAAAAAAAAAAAACTCCTAATATTTTAAGAAAGTTTATGAATTTGGCTGGGCGCGGTGGCTCCCGCCTATAATCCCAGCACTTTGGGAGGCCAAGGCGGGTGGATCACAAGGTCAAGAGATGGAGACCATCCGGGTCAACAAGGTGAAACCCCATCTCTACTAAAAGTACAAAAATTAGCTGGGCATGGTGGTGCACGCCTGTAGTCCCAGCTACTCAGGAGGCTGAGGTAGGAGAATTGCTTGAATCCGGAAGGCGGAGGTTGCGGTGAGCCAAGATCGTGCCATTGCACTCCAGTCTGGGTAACAGCAGCGAAACTCAGTCTCAAAAAAAAGAAAGTTTATGAATTTGTGTGAGGCCATGTTCAAAGCCACCCAGGGCCACATGTGGGCCGTGGGTCGAACAAGCTTGCTTTAACAGCTTTTAGAGGACTTCCAGAGAGCATTATCTCACATAATCTTCACAACAACCCCAGAGCGTGAATATCGTGACTTGGATTATGATGATCTGAGACTTTATTCATTAAGTCACACAGCAGGTACAAGACAAAGCTAGGACTCATATGGGGTCTTTTGACTCCAACCCCCATGTGCTTTTCATACATTCATTGAGGAGCTCAGCCATGTTACACCAGCTTCTCCAGGGCTTGGAATGAGGCTTAGCAGCTCCCTGAAATGCAGCTGTCTTTGCTTTCCTCTGCCCATGTGTCCTCAGGTTATGTGGGATATCATGAAGAGAAATAGAAAGGAGAAACAAAAAGAACAATACCAGAGAAACTGTAGCTTTTATAGGCAAATTACTTTTAAAATACAGAGTGAGCAGAAGGAGACAGGCAGAGAAGGGCCTGAGGTCCTCAGAAAAGGACTTTGAGACAGAGGAGAAGTAAAGGCTGTTACCTGCTCTGAAGAGAAAGGCGTCCCTTGTGCCTTAGCTATTTGAACTTGATTGATCCCAAATCATTCATGCCTCGAGTCACTCTCCATATCCTCTTAGAGAACAGCCTCATTGCTAGATTTCTGTCTAGGACCTTTCTCCCCTGAACAGCTCAGGCCAAGAGCCAGGCTTTCTCAACTTTCAACCTGGGCTCCAGCCTGCCCCTCTCAGACAGATTCCAGGACAGAACTCTCCCAGCTTCATTCAACCCCAGCACCTCCTCTTCCTGGTTGCTGCTCTGGGAGACCTGACCTTCCTCCACCTGCCTGGGACTCATGGATGAGTCCTAGGGTCCAGTTGGGCAATTGAGTAGCTAACCCATGGAATGAAGGAGAATTCCTTGCTGTGCTCCCATATCCTTGCTGCACTTAGCAAGGAGAACACCCTCAGGCCTGGCACCCACAGATGGTCTGCACCTTCTTCCTGAGCAAACCCACTGGTCCGATGCCTCTGGGTTTCTCAGAAGCTTCTGGGAGTCTCATTAATTTAGAAGCTCCCTGAGGCCACATAGGCTGGATAGCTTTTAATGATCTATTTGAAGTTTAGGGGTGTCAGATTTGAAAATGTGACTTTTGAACAAAAGAATCTCTACAGAGCAGTGGTTCTCCCAGGGACAATCACCACCGTCACCACCACCACCACTACCATCACCACTCCAACCACGGGACATTTGACAATGTCTGAAATCATTTTTCTTGCCACAACTGGGGAAAAGTGCTGTTGGCATTGAGTAGGTAGAGGCTAGGGATGCTACAGCACATAGCAGCAGCATCCCCAGCCCCAGCAGAGAATTGTGTAGTCCAAAATTTTAATAGCACCAAGGCTGAGAAATGCTAGTCTAGAAAAAATATAATAGAGCATTCTTGTAAACCAAGGGCACTAAATAGACAGCAGCTATAAGATAGCAAATCCTTTTCTACCATTCTTTGAAAAAGGAACATTACAACTAAGAGAAGTAGGAGCCTCTCCCATATGCTATCACTTGAGAACATTGTAAAATCATTCTTGAAACCACAAGTTACTGACAGTGAGGCAAGCAAGATTCATTAGCCCAATATTAAGTCCACAGCCAGCCGCCTCCTTAATATACAGAGGGAACAATGGTGGGTCCCGAACCTCAGTCATTCTTAGACCACCTTTATGATTTTTATCATATTCAGTAAAATCTATCTTATCTACCAGGTTTTTAATTACCTTTTTCTAAAATTTATTTGAAAAGGAAAATTTATATCACTGGGCCCAATGGGAAACCAGGATCACTTGCTATATTAAAAAAGGTAAAAATTAATACAATGAAATCAAAACAGTTATATTCTAAGTACAAATTATTATTTGCTATAGCATTCTTTGAATTAAAAAGTAGGATAGACAAACATTAGAATAGGGTCAAGAATATACCAGCATGAAATGAAACATCTTCCTTGACATATTCAGCAGAATTGAAAATAGAAATGACTGATTTAGTGTGAGTGGGACAGTACTTTAGGTATCCTAATGTAGTGAAAATCTCAATAGGGTGGGTGTCTGGGACCTAGATTCCCTGGTCTTAGGATGTCCCATGTAGTAAGCATATAGCCTTGGAAAAATCTCAGCCACTCTGAGCTTCCATTTTTTTCTTAAGTAAAAATAATCACCCTGCTAACTTCCCAGACCTGCAAAGAGCCAAACAAAATTGTGTAAGTAAACGTAGTTTATAAACACAATGAGGAATCATTGGCATTAAAAGGAATATTGAGTGACAGTATCGTACTCTGAGGCCAGACTAGTTTTGAATTCTCATTCTGCCATTTCCTGGCTTTATGAACTTGCCTCAGTTTTCCTGTCTATAAACTGGGTATGATAATATGCCCTAGCTTACAAGGTTGTCATGAGGCTTGAGTGGAAAAGGTTTATAACTGGACTTAGTGATAAGAAGTATTAAAGAATTATAAGTTTAAAAAAAAGCTCTAAGAGTTCAGATTATTATTTTTCTGTTTGCCCCAATGTTTTTGGAAATTATATTTAAGCTTACTGAAAATCTCAAAGGCACAGCATCCGGATAGAGTAAAGGCCAAGCCCCAGGTAATGACTAGAGTGGAGGATTGGATTCATAAGTTTCTAGTGTGAGGTGGAAAACTGCAGTGTTCCCTGAGGCTAGAAGAAGGAAGAAACTATCTCTACATTTAGGATCTGCCTCCCAATAAATTGGGCAAAGGGCCACTCCTGTGAGGTCTGTTTTATAAGCTATTGAGCAAGTCAGAGCTGCTACAGGAGAGAGGCCAAGTGAGTGATGTGGCTCGGAATGAGAGACACCCACGACCTGCCCTTCCTTACTTTACCATTCTTACCTGTCCCATGGTATGAGAAGCAAGACTACCTGGAGGCTCTTACGGACTTGGAAGTTCAGCATGTGCAGCTCTGGTTCCCAGAAGCTGAGTGACAGTGAGCGTGTGAACACTGCCAGTCCTCCTAAGGCCAGAAGCCAGTTTCCCTGCACTTTACCCCAAAACAATTTTGTCTGTTTGTTTTTTAAAGTTTATTAAGAAAGTAAAGGAATAAAAGAATGTTACTCCATAGCAAAGCAGCCCCAAGGCCTGCTGGTTGCCCACTTTTATGGGTATTTCTTGATTATATGCTAAACAAGGAATGGATTATTCATTGTTTCCTGGTAAAGGCAAGGGCAATTCCCAAAGCTGAGGGTTTCTTTCCTTTTTAAACCGTATAGGGTAACTTCCTGACATTGTCATGGCATCTGTAAACTGTCATAGCTTTGGCGGGATTGTAGCAGTGAGGACAAGCAGAGGTCACTCTCATCACCATCTTGCTTTTGGTGGGTTTGGGCTGGCTTCGTTACTGCAACCAGTCTAAAAACATTTTGAATGTGAGAATTGAAGCCAAGACTTTTTCAGTAGAGTTCTGCATTTTATGTTGGTAAATGGCAATTTTTTCAGGGTGGACAATTCCCTTCTAATGGTCTAGCTCCCACCCAGGCCTCCTAGGAGCAGTGACGAGATTGGCCCTTGAACATGAAGGAGATTAGATTCTGAGCTACCATCACTCTTCTGAAAAACAGAAGGATCATGTCACTCACCACTTCTAGTTCTGTGACACTACCCAGTGACAGAACGGAGAGGCCACCCAACCTCCTGTCTTTTATTCATCATCTCCAGGGAGCATCCTGACAAGACCAGGACTGGATTTGGCTGTGAGAGTCTTCTGCTTCGAGGCTGCACCATCAGAAACACCGAGGTGGCTGTTGGCATTGTCATCTATGCAGGTCATTGTCTCTGGGTAGTTTTTTTTGTCTGAATTTTCCTTTATCCTTCCTCCTCCATCCCCTCCTCCAAATCCATCATCAGTCAGTGGAAACTGACAACAGTTCACAGTAACTTCCCATTTATTCATGTAACTTCCCATTTCTCAGCTAAGCAAATGGAGGCTGGGAATGACAGTAGTTCACTCAGTCTGCAGGAGACATAATGAGATTCCAAGTTAATATCACTCATCTGCACAAGACAGGGAAAGGGATTCACACTCAATCATCCCAATGGTTTTGTGCTACTAACTAAAGCCAGAATAAAGTGTATCTTCTTGAGCCTGTGGAATAACCTCACCAAACTTAACGACTTCCCTTTGGAGCCTCAATTTCCTCATTTGTACAGTGGGGAGAATATTTGTATCTGCCTCATAGAGTGTTTGTAAGGATCAAATTACTCAGCACATGAAAAGCATTCAGCACTGCCCATAGCAAAGTGAGGGCTCAGTGGGTTTTAGTTGTTTTGTAGTTACGTCTTTACTATTATCTTTACTATTTATTTTTATGGCTCCAGATATGGAGGCCTATATGTCCTTCCTACTTTGATTCTGCTTTCCAATGAAAAAAGATAATGTAGCTCTTCTCACAGTGAAATCTAAAGTCTTGGAGGGCAGTCTTGAGACTGCTGTATCTCTAGTTTTTAATGCCAGCGCTCCTAGGTACTCAGTGCACCTGCTGTTACATGAACCTAAAGACTTCTGCCACAGCAGAGGAAACACGGTCTCTCTGGAGTGTCTACCTTTGCTGGAAAACTCCAGAATGTGTTTTCTTCTGAGTCTTCCGTTCGCTGGGACACTTTGGAATACTTTGCTTATTTGCTTTTTTGTTTGGTTTGTTTTGGTCTCCATAGAACCCCACTTCTGATGGACATAGAAGAGCATTTAAATATCTATCTACCATAAGATTTACTCTTTGGGATTGTCAAGGAGAAACAGGTCTTTTGAAAAATAATGTCACAATCTAGCTAGGTTTCCCTAATTTAGGAGAGGGGGATTATATTTGTCAGTTTAAATGACTTATTTCAAAGGTCTTTAGCAATGGAGTTCAACAGCATCTGGTAAATCTATTAAAAATGAACACTCCAGCAATCTCCACTCTACTAAAAAAGAAAACAGTACTAATAGCCACATAGGTTTTGAGCTTTGCTACTCTGCCTGAATAGAAATAAAGAAGAAACATAAGTAGGTGATGGGAGTGGTATATAAGGTGGCAGATGTGGAGTGTTAACCATGGCTCTGGCTAGTCAGGCTGCCTTGGGTTCAAATCCATTCATATTCTGCATATTCCTAAATAAGATGGTTGATCTTTCAATGCAAGAGGGACTAATAGTTCCTATTTTGTAGCTTTATAAGGTTCAAATGAGGTTATCTGTGTAAAGGGCCTAATACAACAGTTGGAATACATCAGGCCCTCCAAAATATGAGAAAAGATACCACTTATTATCTAGAGTGGAGGCTCTCATCTTTGGCACCACTGACATTTTGGTCCATACTATTCTTTGTGACAGGGTCTGTCCTGTAGGGTATTTAGCAGCATCTCTGCCCTCTACCCAGAAGATGCATTAGCACCCGTCACCAAATCAGACAACCCCAGATTTCTCAAGATGTTGCCAAATGTCTTCTGGGGAGAAAAATCACTCCGGATTGAGAGCAACGGTCCAGAATTCTCATTTCTTCCTCGACATTATCAGTAAACAAAACAGGGCTTCAGAATCAAAGGCCTAAAAAGGCCAAGGTGAGATTTACAGAAGAAATAGGTTCAGTGTAGAAGTATATGCTCCTGACAGCAAACATTGAGTCCCAACTGTGTACCGAAACTGATTTAGTACTTTGTGTATATTGATTTATTTTTCCACTTCAGACACCACCATCTTCTCCCATTTGTCAGATGAGTAATTGAAGTACGAAGAGGTTCACTCACCCAAGTTCACATGTCTACTGAGTTGGACTCTCTGTAACCCAAGGTCAGGTATCCACAGAGCTGACGTCTGTCTGACTCTAGAGCCCACACTCTTATCCACTGTCCCATACTGCCTCCCCTTGAACCCAACTCTTTCCAAAAGAGTGGAGGGGTCTCAGAAGGCAAGGATCAGGTGGGTGAAGGGGATAGTCCCAGGATCCCTGAATGGAGTGAGCTTGAGAGGCAGGCATAGAGACTACAGGCCCAGGAGTGCTGCTGGAACACCACCCCCCCGACCACACACACACACACACACACACAACTGCAGCAACTTGAGTCTGATTTTGGAAGCCTAGAGTTTGTTCACTCCTCCTGTTTCGTTGCTACTTTAAATCCACAAGGCAACCACCTAAACAACATTAAAGCCATTTGCTTTTGGAGATGATGTATTGATTTTCTTTAATTTTAGACAGAAAATACGTGACTGGCATTTTTTTTTTACTTTGACTGCTGAGGAGTCTGGCACTGTAGCTAACATTCAGCAGCCCCAAAGGAGAGGCTCTGTCTAAAGACAAAGTCTCCGCTTGACTCTCAGCTCTTAGGTGTGTGACCTTGGGTCCCAGGGGTTGGTGGAAGGAGAAATACACTGGCAATCTGAATCTTAGGTTTGCAATGTGACTCTGATGTTGACATATTCTTTCACTTCGGGCAGATCTTTTTTACCCTCAAGCCCTCAGTTTCCCCTGTTGGGAAGGAAGGTGACTGGAAGAGATTGGTAGTTTTCAAACTTTGTCATCCTTTCTTTGACCAAAATTGTATGCAAAACTACAACATGGAGCGGAGCTGCCCAGGGATAGTGCCGAGGTGGGGACCTTTGGTTCTTACGACTCTTGCTCAGGCAACACCAACAACTTAGGCATGACCAAAGATTCAAGTAGGGAAACGACTGGTCCCAGGCACTGTCCTACCACAGGGCTTTTACACATACGGTTCCCCAGCCTAAAACACTGCAGCAAACTCCACTCTCCCTTCAGGCCTTTCTTCAGCATCATCTCCTTGGAGAAGCTTTCCCTGAGCAGGCTTTCCAACACCATCTCTTATCCACCTTGGCCTTTGGTTTACTGTGTATTAATGATGTAACAGGACTTAGTAATAATGATAACTATCCTTTCTGTATTCTTGCATATCTTCACTAGAATGGGAATCCTATGTCTTGCTGTTGTATCCCACTGCTAGTCTGTAACAGGCAGAACAGAATCTTTGTGTAAATTAGAAAAGGGCAGTTCTTCTTTAAGACAGCTTACTATCATTTGCCAGAACTCTGTTCATAATAAACTTACAAATCTTTGGCAACTACAGAATGAGGACTACTCTCTAGAGTTCTGCAGGGCACAGCCTGCGCATGGGAGCTCTGTCAATGCCCACCGCAGTGTCTGGCACGCATGTAGGGGATGCTTGCTAAGTAGCTGCTGGTCAATTATGTGAGGCCTCTACAGCTGTTCTCAGCAACCTGCTGAGGCAGGGCAAGTTCTGGCTAAAGAGTGAATCCTTGGGCCAGGCACAGTGGCTCAAGCCTGTAATCCCAGCATTTTGGGAGGCTGAGGCAGGCGGATCATGAGGTCAGGAGATAAAGGATCATGAGGTCCTGGCCAACCTGGTGAAACCCCATTGCTACTAAAAATACAAAAAAATAGCTGGGTATGGTGGCGTGTGCCTGTAGTCCCAGCTACCTGGGAGGCTGAGGCAGGAGAATTGCTTGAATTGGGAGGTGGAGGTTGCGGTGAGCTAAGATTGTGCCACTGCACTCCAGCCTGGTGCCTGGCAACAGAGTGAGAATCTGTCCAAAAAAAAAAAAAAAAGAGTGGATCCTCTCTTCTATCTTAAGCTCCTGTGAGAAGAGCTGAGGGAATGGTCTAAGACAGAGGCAGCTAAGGGACTGATTTCCTCATTTTCTCTCAAAGGCCATGAGACAAAAGCCATGCTGAACAACAGCGGCCCCCGGTACAAACGCAGCAAGATTGAGCGGCGCATAAACACAGACATCTTCTTCTGCATTGGGATCCTCATCCTCATGTGCCTTATTGGAGCTGTAGGTATGGGATGTTCTGGAAAGAACAAGAACACAGTAATCGATTTCTTTGGGCAAGTTTCCTCATTTGTAAAGTAGGGCTAATAAAATGTAAAGCCTACCCTGCCTACTTCAATGGGATGCCAGTGAACGGAAAAGGCAAGAGAAAACCTCCTGAAAGTAGTATGTGCATTTAACTATTGTTAATATCATCCAGTATTTATTTGCTCAAGAAATATTTACTGAACACAGGCACTCTCACAGCATGGGAGGAAAACAAGATGAATCAGTCATAGGACTGGTCCTCAAAGAGCTCATAGTCTAGCAAGGAGGAGAAACAAATCAGTAACACAATCTGTTCCACTCATACTGGGCTGCACACCAGGACTGTATTTGTTTCTCATTGCCACTGCAAAACATGAACACACAGTGATTTAGAACAACACAAATTTATTATGTTACATCTCTGGAGATCATGCCAGATCAGCAGTGGCGTTAGAGTCTCACGGGAGCGCAAACCCTCCTGTGAACTGCTCATGGGAGGGATCTAGGTTGTGTGCTCCTTATGAGAATCTAATGCCTGATGATCTGTCACCGTCTCCCATCACCCCTAGATGGGACCATCTAGTTGCAAGAAAATAAGCTCAGGGTTACCACCTATTTCACTAGGGTGAGTTGTATAATTATTTCATTATATATTATAATGTAATAATAGAAATAAAGTGCACCATAAAGGTAATGCACTTAAATCCTGAAACCATCTCCCCCTCCCTACTAACTGTGAAAAAATTATCTTCCACAAAACCAGTCACTGGTACCAAAAAGGTTGGAGACCACTGGTCAAGTTATCAGCAGTGCTGGTTCCTCCTGAAGGCTCTGAGGGAAGGATCCATTCCTCTTCTTTTTCAGTTTCTAGTGGCTGCCTGTAGTCTTTAGTTTGTGGTTCCTTCCTCCACCTTCAGAGTGCCCCACCCCAATCACTGCCTACATTTCCCTCTCCTCATCTGCAGCAGTAGCTCTCCCTGCCTTTTACAAGACATTTGTGATTACATCATTGGGCCCACCTTTATAATTCTTGAAGAGGTAGCTTCTAGAGCTGATTCTCAAGCAGAGTAGACATTTGCCAGAGGAGGAGGGTGGCAGAGCCAAGTGCAGGGGCTGGACAGGGCAGGCCACTGTGAGCAAAACCAGAGAGGCCACTCTCAGCCACAGGAAAATCACAAGCAAAGCACAGAGGCAGAAAGGAAAATCATTTTGTGCAGAGGAGCAGTTGGCTGTTGGGTGTGGCAAGAGTAAGACCAAAAATGGAGACCTTAGCAGAGCCAGCCTATGGCCCAAGTTGAGTGAGAAGCACCATGAGAGGTGGAGACAGGAGTGATCTGGAGCCCTTTAAGTTGATCCTCAGAGTGTAGGTGAAGAGGGGCCTACACTTCCCCTGCCCCATCCATAGTCTTATTCTAAGAATGGTTCTCAGGATGCTAAAGGAGATCCCAAAAAGAACCAGGGACAATCAAGAGAAAAACTCAGGTCCTGAGTCCAGAACCACGCAGACCCCAAACCAATGAGCAGCAGTGGTGTTTGCTGTTTACTTGCCTTAGTCAGAAATCGTACCCGTTGCTGTTGTTAGAAACATAGTATCTGAAAAGTTGAGCCCTTCCTGGGGGCTCAGAGAGACTGTATGGATAGATGGATAGATGGATGAATAGATGTGTGCCACTATAGTGATGATGATGGGATTGAGCCTTGTGGGTGGCCTGGAGTTCTCAGGTGTGTCTAATAGCACTTCGCTTGAGGCTGGCTCACAGCTGTAAGGAGAGCACCTGGGGAGGGGAAGCAAGGAAACAAGACATTGTCTCACTCCCACCCTCCCCTCAACCTATGTGGCCACCTCTGTGTCCCCAAGATGCTGCAGGAACTTTGCTTTTGCTTCAGAACAGGGTTTTTTCAGGGCATAGCAGAGTGAAAAGGACATTCGAGATCATCTCACTGTGTCTCCAGAGAAAGAAAGTTAATGATTAAAAGGTCACAGGGCGAGATAAGGCACAGGCAAACCAGAATCTGCTTGGCAGATTCCCCAAAACAATAAAGAAATGAAGAAAGATCATGGGGGAGGGTCAGAATTCTATTCTGAGATAACAATTCATACACAGGAGTGTGTTGGTGCCTAATTAAAGCACAGCCCTATAGAAGATGAAATCTCTCAAATTAGCACTATCCCACAGTTCTTGACCACATGCTTACTTTGATTTTGTAAAAGTGGTGTCTCTTCTTTCCTCACCCAGTATACCCTGCCCTGGCCTTCCTGACCACCCAAACACCCGTGGGGGCTCCAGGACCCCCTCAAGTCCCCCTCTTCCATGCAGCCTTCTCAGGCCTTTCCCATGCTCTTGTCTTACTCCCATAAAGGCCAGTGGCCCTTACTCTGTGCCATGTGTTTGGTCTTTAGTTATCTGCTTTATAATACTAACTTCATATAAATAGCTTTGTGTTTGTAAGTTTCCTTTCTTCTGCTAGGTATGATGGCATTTGGCCCAACCTCCTGGGCAAGGAAGCATCTTTGAGGATTGCAACATCCCCTATGCCTTTTATTCTCTATAATTCTTGGAGCTGAGAATATTTTAAACATGAGGATATTCTAACAGTAACTCTGTAGGGAAGGTATTATTACTATTTAACAGATAAGGACACTGAGGTTTAGTGAGCTCTATAACAGGTGCTGGATGCACTTCACCTTACATAATCCTCAGATAATGGGTGTTGGTATCTCCTTTGCAGATAAGGAAACAGAGTTCAGTCTGTACCTGGTGCTGTTGCTATGGGCTCTCACAGCATTCCAGGCTCTGCTATTACACCTCTCATACTGTATGTGATTTGTCCTTTTATGTCTGGCTCCCTAATTTGGAAGAAAACTCCACAATGACAAGAACTAGTACTAACTTCTTGACTTCTTGAATTAATCAATGTTAGAGAGAAAGATGAATGGGTAAACAGGGATGGATGGATGGATGGATAGATGAATGGGTAAACAGGTAGGTGGGTGGGTGGATGGATATATAGATAGATACATGGGTGAGTATATGGATGGATGGATGGATAGAAAATGGATTAATAGAAGGATGAATGGATGGATAGATGATATATGGATGAGTTGATGGGTGGGTGGATGCAGGGATTGATGGAGGGATAGATGGGTGAGTAGATGGGTAGATGGATGAATGGATAGAAAAATGAAAGAACAGAAGAATGGATGGATAGATGGAAGGATAGAAGGATAGATGGATAGATGAGTAGATGGGTAGATAGATGGATAAATGGATAGATGAATAGATAGAAAAATGGATGGAAGGATAGACAGGTGAGTAGATGGGTGGGTGGATGGAGGGATTGATGGATGGATAGATGGGTAAGTATATTGGTGAATGGGTGGATGAATTGATAGATGAATGAATAGAAAAATGGATGAATAGAAGGAGGGATGGATAGATGGAAAGATGGATGAATGAATGGATGGATATATGGGTGGGTGGATGGATAAATGGATAGATGAATGGACAGAAAAATGGATGAATGGAAGGATGGATGGATGGGTAGATGGGTGGGTGGATGGAAGGGTTGATGGATGGATGAATGGATGGCTGTATGAGTAGATGGGTGAATAGATGGATGAATGGATAGATGAATAAATAGAAAAATGGAAGGAAGGGAGGGAGGGAAGATGGATGGGTGTATAGAGAGATGGATAGATGGATGGATGGATGGATAGATAGATGGGTGAGTAGATGGGTGGGTGGATAGAAGGATTCATGCATAGATTAATGGATAGAAAAATGAATGAATGGAAGGATGGATAGGTAGATGGGCATTAGATGGGATAAGACGGGACTAGGGGAGAGGTCTCTCAAGGCACCCCACCCATGCAAAAAAGTGTGCACCACAGAACAAAAAAGAAAAAGTATTTCTTTCTCATTTCCAGTTCCTTTTTAACAAGACTTATGAAAACATAAGTAATCCTCATGCCAATTTCCTCTGTGAAACAAACTTGATGCCTATCAAGGGATTGAAATGCATATGAGGAACCACTTTAGAGCTAAATGAACACATACACATACATACACACGTATACACACACAGAGCTATGTTGTATGGAAAAAGGAGGGGTCCTCCAAAGCACACCCATTTCTAGGAATGTGTCAAGGGCTAGTGTCATTGACCAATTTTAGGACTTAGTGGAGACTCAGTCTCATTCCTGGTTTCGCCTCCTCTCAGGTCACAGCATCTGGAATGGGACCTTTGAAGAACACCCTCCCTTTGATGTGCCAGAGGCCAACGGCAGCTTCCTTCCTGGTGCCCTTGGGGGCTTCTACATGTTCCTCACAATGATTATCCTGCTCCAGGTAGAAAGCCCTCCCTACCTAGAGCCCCAATAAGATATGTAACCGAAACCCCTACAACTTTGTAAAATGAAGAAAAATCAGTGCTGGCCACAAGAAAGTACAAACTGGAAGGAGAATGAGGATATGGTCATCATTTTCTTGTGGGTCCTTGAAAATATTCACATTTGGGGTGATTTAAGGACCTTGCACCTTAGATAACAGCTGGAGGAAAATATTTATCAGGCTTTTCTATTTAAGAGTAAGATGACAGCAGTGACCCACATGTGCCTGTCCCTTTGTCAGGACAGATAAAACACTAATGACCTAGGAACAAAAGAAGATAACACAGTGAGCTACAGAAAACTCGCATGCCCCAACCACAAGTTAGTGTTTAAATTTGATACATTGAGAAAAGAAGAAGAACAGAACTGGCCTAATATAGGACAGGGGAAAAAAAAACAGAGAGCACCTACAAAATGTGAGGCAGTAATTGATGAAGAGATGAATTTTAAAATCTTCATGGTCTCTAAGAAAATACGATCTATGAAAAGATGAGAGAAGTTGTAGTTTTCCTTTTGTGGAGCTCCATCTACCACTTCTTGTAGTATTGGGGGATGTTTCATTGCCCCCTTATTGGTGAGCATCTTCCATTCATTCATCTATCACAGTAATCTATTTTAAATGTGAATTAAATCATACCCCTCCTATGTACAGAATCCTCTCATAGTTTCATAACCGCTCAAAGTGAAATCCAAAGTCCTCACGGTGGCTAATGAAGCCCTAAGTGATCTGGACCCTGACTCCCTCCCTCGCCTCCTCTCTCCCCAGCTCACTCACCTGCAAGGCCTGCTCCCTATTACTCCCCAAACACCACTCCCACTGCCAGGTCTGTGCCTGGCTTTCTCCTCTGCTCAAAACGCTCCTCCCCCAGATAACCTCATAATTCACACCCTGGCTTCGTCATGTCTCGGTTCAAAGGTCGTGGTTTACAAACATCCCACCCAGCCATCAATCTACCCCCTTTTCTTTTCTTTATTCTTCCTCATGCAACTTACCACCACTGATATATATTTATATGTTTGTCCACTGTCACTGGAAGGTGAGTTCTTCAAAGCCAGGAATTATGTTCTGTTGACTCACTTCCAGGACTTAGAACAGCATCAAAAGCACAGCAAGCACTTGGCAAATGCCAAGTATTGAAACTGGGGAGAAATTAACAATAGGTCTGAATACCTATTGTTAATAAATAGGTATTAATAAAAGTGGGCAGCGACCCTTGGCAGCACAGAGATCTGACAGGAGTTGAGGGACTCTAAATAGAGATGCTAAATCTCCCTTGTTTCCTCCCAGCTCAGTCATAGACAACCAATGGTGAGTGCCTACCTTGTACCATACATCCCTGGTCAAAGAAGACATATCCGTTTTTCACATTCCCCTAAGAATTCCAAGGGATGCATGAGGTCATTGACCGTGAATTTCACAGTCTGTCCTGTGAGCTGACCTCAGCTTTCCATTAAATGCCTTTGCTACCTGCTAGTGAGGATCCCAAGGGAAGGAACCTGCCTGGTTTCTGACATGGTGGAAACTCATCTCTTTACAGGTGCTGATCCCCATCTCTTTGTATGTCTCCATTGAGCTGGTGAAGCTCGGGCAAGTGTTCTTCTTGAACAATGACCTTGACCTGTATGATGAAGAGACTGATTTATCCATTCAGTGTCGAGCCCTCAACATCACAGAGGACTTGGGCCAGATCCAGTACATCTTCTCTGATAAGACAGGAACCCTGACAGAAAACAAAATGGTGTTTCGACGTTGCACCATCATGGGCAGCGAGTATTCTCACCAAGAAAATGGTACGAGAGCTCCCAAGGGCTCCATCCCTCTTTCTAAAAGGAAATACCCTGCTCTCCTAAGAAACGAGTGGATAAAAGACATTCTCCTGTCTCTCTTAGAGGCTGTGTGGCATTTCCACAAGTTGCTCCCTGTATCCCTGTGCTCTTCCTTGTCACAGATCAGGGCTGTTCCAATTACTTGTAAATTTTCATTTGTTCACAAAGGTTAGAAGTTATCCCATATGTGGTGCCCCTCCAGTTGATCTTTGTCTGGTACTAGACAAAGCACTTTACAAGACAAGATCTTTTATCTGTCAGCAATGGATTAGAGACATTTTTCAATCATGTGCCAGTCATACAAAGCTTGGGAATTTTTCAGGCCACCTTTCCTGACATCTCAGGGCAGGTCTGGGTCTAGGCACATGGTCAGATTTAGCACATCCAGAAAATGGCTTCTATTCTAACAGATCTCTTAGATTGTCACTGAGGCAAAGTTTTGATTTAGGAGATAGGGTTATAAAAGGCCTGGATTGTTATCCTTCATGGACTGAATATGACTCATAAAACTGACCTGATTCCTTCAGCCATGATCTCCCCAACTTTGCCTGCCTCCCCGACCCACACACTTTCTAAGAAAGGGGACTCTTAAGAGAGAGCATTCATTCTTTTGAGTGGGAGGGATGGAGAAAGAGAAAGGTGGAGAGGACATTATAAGCAGCCTTATCCCCTTTGCCATGGTGATTGTGGACTATTTACGTGGGAGCATCTGATCTCTTTGTAATAATAATAAGAGCTATATTACCAGTACTTAGAGCATGCTAGTCATTTTAACACATTATATCATTAAATCTTCAGAGCATCCCTATAAGTTAAAAACTTACAAAAAAAAAAAAAAAACCCTGAGGAAGTAAAGTGACAGGTTATGTCAAAGCTCAAAGTCACATGACTAGTAGGTAGTCCACTAAGGTTTGAATCTGTGGGACTTAGTTGTACTCTTCTTTCTCTAGTCTTGGCAGCCCAGATGCCAATTTTCCGGAGTAGCATAGGCCTTTCCCATGCTCTTGCCCCACCCAAAACCTAGTCTCTCCCCAACATGGTCCAGTGAAGGTACAACTAGTGCAATAACAGGACTCCTTTCTTGCAGCTAAGCGACTGGAGACCCCAAAGGAGCTGGACTCAGATGGTGAAGAGTGGACTCAGTACCGATGCCTGTCCTTCCCAGCCAGATGGGCCCAGGATCCAGGAACTATGAGAGGCCTAAAAGGTGCTCAGCCTTTGAGGAGGAGCCAGAGTGCACAGGTGCCCATCCAGGGCCACTACCGGCAAAGGTCTATGGGGAACCGTGAAAGCTCACAGCCTCCTGTGGCCTTCAGCAGCTCCATAGTAAGTCCCTGAATTTCCCCTTTTACCAGCAAGTGTTCTGTGGGAAGAGATGGGAGAGGGCTTTGGCATGTGGAAAGGAAAAGATTGTGCAAACCCTAAAGAGCTTTCAGAATGGTGCTGTTGGTTTTGTATATAGTCCACATGTGTGTTTTGCTGGCATAGACAATTCCTGTTCATTCAAAATATTTAGTGTTAAGAAATCGGGAGATTTTATGTAAGCATATAGATTTTTTGGCTTCTCTCTTAAAAATTGAATTATAAAAATTCTCCACACCAAGCCAGCCTTTCCTCATGGCAATTGGCTTGAGTTGAGAGGTCCCTAACACTTAGACTGGCCATGCCATCCTCAGCTCATAGCAGCCCCTGCCCACCTTCCCTATTTATCCCACCACTGAGGTAGGGGGCAACTGTATAATTTTTAAAACATGCATAATGAGTATGTTTTCTCCCTCTCATCCAGAACATGAGAGGGAGAAAACAGACCCATTAGGCATGTTTGGATGAGGGGGAGAAAACATACTCATTAGGCATGTATTTAAAATTATACACTTAGGAGAAATGAGAAATATTTGTTATGCTCATGTTTCCATAAGGGAGAAAAACAAAAGATACACCTGTAAGGCGTATGTGTTTGAAAAAAAAAAATGGGAGAATATACTTTTTGGTGATGATCAAAAATAAGTTTTAAATAGTTATGAAGCAAATATCTATGTCAAGATTACCCAGCCCATTTCTTTCCCTTAGGCTAACTGCCTAATTCCCTTTGGCCCTTATGGGCAATGCTTGTTTCTGGCTTTGGTATGGGGCTTTCTGCATATGGTCCTTTTACATTTGATCCACTAGAACAGCCATCAGCAAACATCCAGGTAGCAAGTAAAGAAAACCCTCAGAGACTACACAGCATTCCTTAGAAGTCAAGGCCAGACCAGGGCCTCTGACTCCTGTCCTATTCCTCTTTCCTTTACACACACTCTTTCTCCAGGGAACATAAAAACACATCATCTGGAACCTCTGCACTTACAGAAGAGGCCACAGGGAGCCCCAGCAATCTTGAACAAGACACACATATTAACAGATGGGACCTAAAGGGCTACTAACCCTTTATTGGAAAAGATTATAAAAATCTTTTTGGTCAATTTGTTCCAGTCTCTTATTTATCCCATGAATACACACACACACACACACACACACACACACACACACACACACACAATAACTACATATATTTAACATTTTTTGCAAGCATGGTACATATCAATTGCAAATGCTAGGATTTTCTTTTAACCTAACATGATATCAAAATCGTTTTCCATATTTCTACTTGGTATTCATAACCAAAGACTGTGTTTTCTGACTGAGACAAAGAAGAAACACTGTGAGCCTGTGTTCTGGGTCATTACTCATCTAACTTTGGGTGAGTACAAAGTTGAGTTCCCTCTTCTGGGTTATTGTCATGCACAGAAATGCAACATTAGCAAGGATAAGACAAGAACAGTGTGTTAAGACATATGACCTTCATGAATACACAAGTGAAATGATCCATAGACGTCTTCAGGAAGATTTCTGTATTTTTTTCTCCTTTTTGATTTTCCCAAGAGAGATAACAACAAGGTGTGCATATTACTACATCCTTCTTAATTCTTCCCCCATGAATGTAATGCACTTCTCCAAGCTCTTTTCTTAAATATTCATAAAATGACCTTAGTGAATTCTCATTAGGCACAGATTCTATGTGTCTTTGGCACCTTCAAGTTCTAGGTACCACAGGTATCCCACGTGCCTGAGAATGTCTCCCCAGAATGTGAGAGGAAGAAAAAGGAAGCTTTCCGTTGTGGATCTCAGTTGGGTCACATGAGCTCACTGGCCCTAGTTCCGCCTGACAAGTCTCAACAGCCCAGAAAAACTGCATTCCTGGACCAGGCAGGAATGGTCCAGGGCTTGGCAGGAATGGTCCAGGTCAGGAATGGTCCTTTGATGCAGGGCTTTTAGCCGATGGTCAGTGAGAGGGACACGTCAACCCCAGAGCTATCTCCAGATCCTGGATGTCATCATCCTGCCGTGGCTGGCAGTCCCAAAGGCAAGTTCTGACTAAGTTCATTCAAGAGCAATAAGGAACTTGACACATGGGTTAAGTCCCAATTCCTGTTGCCTGGGCAAGCGAAGGTGGTGATATATTCTTTTTATGAACAGCTAAGTATACTCATGCAATCAGGTCACTTGAAAACCTGGGGTTAATGGAACAATTGTATCTTTGAGTAGTTTTGAGGAAGGGCACTGGGATAAGAGGTAGGCAGTGGAGGTTCTGGTTTTAGTTCTGCTACTGGCTTGCTAGGTAACCTTAAGCAACATGTTAAACCTCCTTCTATGTCTCTTTCCCCATCTGAAAATACTTTACCTACAATTCTCACCAAGTCGTTCCAAAGATCAAATAACATAATATTTGCTGACCTGCAAGATCACTTCTAGCTATGAATTAGGCACATGTGGGGTCCAGTGTCTCAGGTTTTCATCTAAGCTGCACCATGTACTAGCTCTGCGACTTTTGTCAGCTTACTGAAATGGAAGCCTCAACTTACCCATTGTTAAAATGAGGATAATTGTTCTGGTTTGTGAGTTTATTTTGAGGATTTACTTTATTTCTTTATTTGCTTATTTATTTATTTATTTGTTGAGACATAGTTTTTGCTCGTGTTGCCCAGGCTGGAGTGCAATGGTGCGATCTTGGCTCACTGCAACCTCCACCTCCCTGGTTCAAGCAATTCTCCTGTCTCAGCTTCACGAATAGTTGGGATTACAGGTGCCTGCCACTATGCCTGGCTAATTTTTGGTATTTTTAGTAGATATGGGGTTTCACCATGTTGGCCAGGCTGGTCTTGAACTCCTGACCTCAGGTGATCCACCCGCTTCAGCCTCCCAAAGTGCTGGGATTACAGGCGTGAGCCCAGCCTGAGGATTTAATTCTTAAAATTGTGTGTTCTAAGCAAACAGATACCTAATGGAAGTTTTAAATGATCTTTCTGAAGGAAAGCTGTCTGCCTTGAACAAATGTTCACATATCTGATGTCATGAAGAGAAAATGGGGAGTTTTCATAAACTACAGTTGTTGGATTCTCTCCCCTGAGATCCTGGTATATTTGGTCTAGGGTGAGTCCTGAGCATTTATAGTTTACTTTCTGATGATTTTAGGGAGCAGCCAAGGTGGGGACCCTCCATAAGCACACCATCATCCTACCAGGAAAGAGTCTTTACTTGGCTCAAATTGGCACTTTCTACAGCGTGGGAGGCATTTGCTGAAGGGAGTGAAGTATGCAGTCTTCAAGGACTCTTGTACTAACCCATCAGTACCTCTGGCTGGGGTCAGATCCTTGAAGTTTTCCCTAGAGAGCTCCTGCAGCAGCTCCAGGTGGCTGTCTTGGTGCCCACCCCCACCCACTCCTGGCAGACTCTCTGCACTTGTCCCCTTCCACCTGCCTTCTGTGCCTTCCTGCACCTGCCCATCTGGCACCCAATCTGGTCTGATCATCTCTTGGAACCACCAGTTCTTTACATTCCCTTAGTGAACTCAGTCAAAATTTGCCTCTGAAACCCCCAGGGAGCATTCTACCACCTTCTAAAGAAGCCAGTTGTTAGTTTCCTTAGCCCTTTGCTCTAAACCAAAAATAAAACAAGAATCGACAAAAACAGCAACAACAGAAGCTGGGTTCTTTTTTCTTTTACTATGAAAAAGCAAGAAACCATCAGTGATTGCCACCTAATTGCCTGCAATAAAATCTGTGGCTTTAAGATGGGGGTAATATACTTATTAAAATGATGAGTTGAGTCCCAAGCCAATGTTTAATAGTACTGGCAGATGGAAAATGAAATGGCTTTTTTTTTTCTTTCTTGTCTGTAAGCAGCCAAGATTTGAGCAGAGTCTTTGTTTAAAAATGCCATTTGCAGAATGTTTTTCAGTACCATCAGACCAAAGAATATCTTCCTAATCATAAAATTTGTACTGGGGCCAGTTAGATTCCTCCAAACTTCCCCAGTGCTTTCCTCTGTGGACATCCCCCCTCCCCATCTGAAGAGAATGCAACAGAGAGAAGCGAAGGAGGTGTCATTGGACCTCTGCCTCCTTTCACTAATCTTGGTCTGCCTTTCTTTGGAAAAGATTTATGCAGCACTCCCAGTCTGCTCCAAATTGGAGGGACAGCCCACATACACACACTCCCACTGTAAGGTTAGATAAGAGTCCTGATTTAATTAGCCAAGTACACAGAATCTTTCTGGAAGTGATGTGATCACACAGGGCAGGAAGCAGTGAGGCCTATCTGTATTCCCCTTGTCCTCCAGTATCCCAAGTTGGGGTGGGGGGACCCAGCTGCAGTGACACTGTTCACAAGAGGTAGAAACTGGCAAGGTCTAGAAAACTCCCTTCTTTCTTCACCACTGAGTTTTTTTCTTTGGGCTTATGCCCCATTTGGGAAACATTTACACTAACAATTCATGTGTTCCTATTTAAGTGAGCATTTACTAACATTTGACTTTCTCCGTTCTTGATTCAAACCAAACGTCATCAAGGCCACAGCCTTAGACAGGACAAAAACATCACTGCCCTAAACAATGTTAGCCTCCAGCTCCCGAGCAACCAGGAAAATCTTTCCATAATAGTCACAGCCCACAGGGTTATGTAATCAAAAGGAGCCAAAGGCTGATGGTAGAAAGTAAGTGTCCCTCCATCCTCTCTTCCCACCACCTCAGGCACAATCATGATTACCAGCTCCTATGTGTCCTTCCCAAAAGTGTACAGAAACATACAAGTATGGCATACATACGAGCACATCCTTCACTGCAAGTGGAAGCATACCATACCCACTGTTTTGGACTGTGCTTCTTTCTTTAACCTAATGAATTTTAAAGAATATTTCCTATGTGTAGACAGACAGGTAGATATTCAATAGAGAGCTGCCTCATCTCTTTTTTTTTTTTTTTTTTTTTGATGACTGCTAGAATTCACTGGA